GAGTGCTTCCGGTGCGTGTGGTGAGCTGCGGGCCCCGGGCGGGAGGGAGCCGGACCGGGCAGCGCCCGAGCGCTCTCCGGGCGCGAGTCCTCACCGCTGATCGCCTCCTTCCCTTTCCCTTCCGTTCCTCTGAGAGCGCCGCGCTCCTACGGCCCTTCTGGCATACTGTGGACAGCGTGCTAACTCCTATTCATCCTTCAAAACCCATCGCTGGCGTATCTTGCTTTTATCTTTCACCAGCCTGTGACTTTTGGGGCAGGATAGGTTTTAGTTTTCGCCCACATCAGACCCAGCATAGGGCTTGACACAGAGTAGGTGATCAGAAAATGTTTGTCGAAGAACATCCCATTTCTTTTACTTGCCCTGCACCTCCATCGGCCAGCTTTAAGTTCCCAAATATTTCTAGAGTTTTTTCTATTAGTTCTCACCTGGATTTCTTTCTTTAGGTTTGTCTATTTAGCTTGTTTTTTTTTTTTTGGGGGGGGACAGGGTCTTAACTAGTTCAGGCTGGCCATAGAGCCCTTCCATCCTCCTGCCTCAGCCTCCCAACTGTTGGAATCACATAGTGCAGCACCACACCCAGCTTTCTCTCTTGCTTCAATCACTGTCCTTTTTGCATGAAAAAATTTCTTTCATCTTAGGAAACAGAAGGCTCCAACCCCATTTTAAATTACTGCTGTCTGGGTCAGCTCCAGAATTCTCCAGTTCTGTGTTTTCCCCTCACACCCAACCCTTCAGTCTCTAGCCCCTCCTTCCCTCCTCGGGGCACTGCCCAGATGTCTTCTGTCTGGGCCCTGACTGCCTCAGCCTCCCTGTTGCACTGCAAGGCCAGGCCCAGCTGGTGGGGGACTCTCCCCTTTGCTTTTTTTCTTTTGCCTCCTTGCTGCCTGATACCCCCTGCTTCTCTCCATCTGAGGTCCATGCTTCCCCACAGCATGTGAGTGTGTGGCCAGCGCATTACCTTCTTACCCCTGTGTGTTCCTTATACCTACTTTGAGGTGTGGTGAGCAGCCAGCCATTGCACCCATGGTATTTGTTGAGTGAATAACAAAACGTATGTTGAGCTGATCAGAAACCCTGCTGCCCTCTCTCTCTCAGCCCTGGGCTCTGGGCCTTGTCAGGGAGTGGAGCTAAGGGGCCACAAAACTTGTGCCAGGCTGTGGGTGGTGGGCTGGTGCGAATCCACCCTCCTGCCTGTGTGCAGAGCCGGGCAATGTCTCCCTTTGGCAGGAAGGCACAGGTCTCAGCCGGGTGGGATCAGGTCACTGGTTGAGCAGCCTCATCAGTTTGCTGCTGTGGCTCCTGGTGAGGCTGGCTGGCTTTATTTGTTTGTTTGTTTGGTTTTTGAGACAGGGCCTCACTATGTAGTGAGACTGACCTGGAACTCCCTGTGTAGCCCAGGCTGGTCTCGAACTCAGCGATTCTCCTGCCTCGGCCTCCTGAGTGCTGGGATTACAGGCGTGCGCTACCACGCCCAGTTGAGGCAGGCTGGCTTTAGAGGCTTTTCCTTTTTAATTTTTTTTTCTGGTAGCAGGGGTCAAACTCAGGACCTTGCAGTCCTGAGGCAGGCAAGGTGCCGCTGAGCTACGTTCCCAGCCCTCTTTAAAAATTTTTTTTGGACACAGGGTCTTGCTATGTAGCTCAGGCTGACCTCAAACTCCCAGTGATCCTCCTGTCTCTGCCTCCCCAGTGCTGGGATGACAGGTGTGCACCACCTCCCTGGGCTTTACTTTCAATTTTTATGAGTACAGGTTTGAGGTGCATCATGATTGCATTCCCTGAGCGATTGCTGGTTCATGAGACTCTGGACATACGATCTGTGGGCCTCCTCATAATATAAGGAAACAACACCCAACCTGCTAGATGCCTGACTCACCTAGTTCATGTTCTCTAAAATCAAAGGATGAAATCTAGGAACGACAGAGTTAAAGAGTAGGAAATATTTATTGAGAGAAGGATAGCTTCTGTCTAAGAGAGACAGAAGGGGGCCTGGAAAGTGGGTTACCCGCAGACCCTGCCCTTTAAGGGAGTTTTATACAACAAAACCACAAGGTGAGGAGGGGTTTCTTTTACTAGGATTTTTTTTTTTTTTTGGTGCCGGGGATCAAACTCCAGCCCTTGGGCTTTTGAGGCAGACCGCAGAACCACTGAGCTAAATCCCTGGCCCTGGCCCTCTTTTAATAAGATTGAAAATGTGTTGCTTAGGTACCTTTGATCCAGTGGAAGTCCCAAGATGGGTATGAAGTGGGACAAAGCTAGGGCCACCCAGTAAGAGTACAACAAGTAAAGTCGCTTAGGTGACTGACTAAATGGGGATCGAAGGGGGAAGAACGGGGAATTTCTGGGCCAGGGACTTTTCTTGGAAGGGATGATTTGAGGTTTTGGTCCCCACCCAGGTGCTTGAGGCCTTTTTGGAATGTCAGCCACTGCCCTTCATCCCTAGGGGAAGTGGTAGGTGTAGGCGATTTTCTTTTGAAACCTGGCCTTTCATGAACGCCTGCCAGGCACAGTTGGGAAGTGTCCTTATCTTCAGTACTGACTTCTTCGGGGCCCAGCCTGTCTGACTGCCTAAAGTATTTTGACTAACATGGCTGTCCATAATACAGGAACGGAACTCATCTTTCTTCTTTTTATCCCCTTCCATTCCCTTCTGCCCCCCTTCATCTCTTGTCCCCTTCCCGTTTGCAAAAGATCCAACTTGCTGCTTCCTGGTCTATCCAGAAATTTTGTTTAGACAACGGCTTTGGCCAAGTGCACTGTTCCTTTTGTGGATTAGGCTGGGAGGGAGAGAAGCATCCTCAGGAGACTGAGGACAGATGCTGACCCAGGGTGACCCCGCCCCGCAGCTCTCTGGGCTTCCTCGGATTTAAGATCGTTCGCCCTGCTGCTCCATTGTGCCCTCTGCTGGCCAGATGCGCCCAGCATCCTTGTCTCCAGCGCGCCCTCTGCTGGCCAGGTGCACCCAGCATCCTTGTGTGGTACTTTCAAGTACTGTTCAACTCCAGACCCAAGTACTTCTTACTGGGAACTAGTTGGTAACTCACCCTGACCCGTTGCAGTTTTCAGCCCTCACCTGATTCATGTTGACAAGTGGGTATCCTGTGTCCTTATTGCTGAGGAACAGCACTGTAAGCTTCCTTCAGACGTTCACCCTTTTGGGCATCTGCACCTGGCAGACATGCTAGGGAGGGCGGTGTGAAGGGTGGGCGTTGGAGCGGGAACAGAATGGGTTTGAAGTCATGGTCACGTTGCCTGCACTGACCTTCCATGGGCATCTTCATGTCCCATGACTGCATGTGTTGTGTCTCCTCCTCCTTACTCCCCTCCTTCCTTTTGGTGCTGGAGATTGAACCTAGGTCTCGGGCCTGTTAGATGGGTGCTGTGCCACTAAGCTACATCCTCAGCCCTTTAAAATTTTTGAATTTTAAGCCAGGAGTGGTGGGTGGCACATGCCTGTAATCCCAGCATTTGGGAAGTTGAGGCAGGAGGATATCCTCCTGCACAAGGCCAGCCTAGGCTGCACAGTGAGACCCGGCCTCAAAAAACAAAGAATTCTTTCATTTTTTGTTTAAGTTTTTATGTTTTGGTACCGGGGATTGAACTCATGACCTTGTGCTTGTGAGGCAGGTGCGGCACCACTGAGCTAAATCCCTGGCCCCAGAGTTTTTATTTTAATAAGCCTGGTGTGAGACAGGTGTGGTGGCGCACGCCTGTGATTCTAGCCCTTGAGAGGCTGAAGCAGGAGAATCCCTTCAAGTTCAAGGCCAGCCTACATAGTGAGTTAGCCCTGTCTCAAAAAGAAGAAGAAAAAGATAATTTTATTTTGCTGATTTGTTTGGCTAATTTGCATTCCTGTCTTATTTTCTTGTATAGCTGGGATTACAGGTGTGCACTCCCATGCCTGGCTAGCTAGGTTATCTGTTTATGTCATTTAGTAAAAATTTCATTTTCTTCATGTAGGGCTTGCATATGTTTTGAAGATTTGTTTTCAGGTATTCTGTAATCTTCATTTTAAAAATTACGTCATCTAATTAAGTATGTTGTACAGGAAAGTATTTTAAAAATTAATTTTTAAAGGTATTATGTAATGTTTAAGTCAAGGTAAACACCATTATTTCCTCAAACATTTATCATTTCTTTATGTTCAAAACACTTAAAATTCTTTCTTTTAGCTTTTTGAAAAAAAGGTCCTCTCTACCTGGTGAACCCAGGGCCTTTGCACTGAACTACATCCCAAGCCTGTTTTATTTTATTTTTGTTTTCTTGAGATAAGGTCTCACTATGTAGTTTAGGCTGGCCTTATACTTGAGGTGATCCTCCTGCCTCAGCCTCCCCAGTGCTGGGATTACAGGTGTCTATCTGTTTTGTTTATTTAGTAGCTAAACTGTTAAATTGGGTGACTCCCAGAGTGCTAGGATTAGAGGCAGAGGCACCACACCCAGTGAAAAGCCTTTAGTTTTTGTGTTTATAAAAATTTTTGTTTTGAAGGTTTGGATTTCTGATGTTTATTCTTTTCTTTCTTTTTTCTTTTTCGCTGTACTGGTGATTAAACATAAGGACACGCTACCACTGAGCTGTTTTATTTTCAGACAAGGTGTCATTAAGTTGTCCCGCCTGGCCTTGAACATGCAACCCTCTGGCCTGAGCCTCCCATGTTGGGATCCAAGAAGTCTGCCCCTCCTGCCCCGCATATTTCTGACTCTGGGTTTCGCTCTGTCCCAGGTTGCAGGACGACGCCGTATGCTGCATGGCCTCGCTGGTGGCTTACGAAGACTCAGATTCGGAGGAGGCTGAGGAGCCGGGTGGAGGCAGGAGCGCTGTGGAGAGGGTGGGCGATGCCCCCGGGGTGTCGGGGCCAGGGGTTGTTCCCGGGGCAGAGGAGGTGCAGGGCCCCGGGCAGCGC